ACCAGGGGGTGCGAACTGGATCGCCTAGGTGCGGATCCGTCCAAGCCATCTGCATGCGTCGTTCCCCATCTCTGGTCTTCTTGACTCTGTCTTGACACCTGCTCAGGTGGTGCAGGAGGAGAGAGTGGGCTGATGAAGTGCAAGTCTAATTTCACTTTAAACGCACAAGTCACCGTCCCAGCTCCGCCGTGCTGAGGAGCACACGGTGGACACCATCGAACTCTCGTGTGTTTATGTGTCTGCAACTAAAACGGACACTGCCGACTTCTCGTGCCAACACTGTCCTTGCACATTCACCTCACGCATCGGCCTGGTCGGTCTCTTGCAAATCCATCGCACAGAGAGTGGCGTAGCAGTGCCTGAAGCACCCAACTACACTCGCCGCAACCGCCTCCATTGTCCACACTGTCCCCGCACTCTCGTGTACCGTATGGGCCTAGTCGGACACATGCGCATCCCCGAAAACCTGCGGTAGACAACCGCCGGCTGTATCGCACCATCACATTCTCTCTCACCAGCAGCTCATCGCGCATCATCATCAGCCACCGGGTGCATCTACTTCCCGCTCCCTCGATGTCAGAAGTGAGCGTGTGGACTCCGTTTCCATGTTGCTCATGATGCAGGGGTGACTAGAGCCTGAGTCAATCACGTTGCGTTAAGCGTCGTGGCTTCGAAGGCTGCTGACTGACACCCAAATCAGTCTCCAGTCTATAAACCCTAACCATAACCTTTATCCTAACCCTTAACCCTAACACTAACTCTGAACGGTATTTTTTCCAGCAGGTGCGGTTATATAACCACATCTTTTCATTTTCGTGTTCACGTGCGTTGCCGCATGTTATATCCCACAATATTTTGACGTCAGTTCTGTGCGAAATAGAAGACAGGCAGGATACCAGAGAACAGCTTTAGTGCGACAGCCACCCTGCGTACATCAACTCTCAATCGTTCTGCCTGTGGTTTCGTGTCCAAGGGTTCTGACATTGTCATCTGGTTCGCGTGTTCTTACTGGTCCAGTCCTGAATGTCCGCATGTGCAAAACCTCGCATGATGTTGACTCTTGACGGTCGCACGTAGCTCGGCGGCGTGGTAGTTGCTGGCTCGCACACGCGCTTGCTTGGCGAGACTTGTCTGCGGGTTTTTTGATTCATTGTCAGGCATGAACTCCGCACGACAGGGACGGTGTGTCGCTTGTTCGCCGCCGTCCTTAGGTGTGCGACGCGTACGTCAGGATAATCCGCATTACTGGGAGGCATGGTTCTTGCTCTCAGAAGTGATTGTCCGCTATGCCAAACACAATCGGTTATGTCTGCGTTCGATTCTGCGATATCGTTTCTTCGATCAGCCGTTTACTGTACGACGGTGCAGTCATAAATGAATATGCGAAGTCGACTGTGTCCCCTTTAATTGCCCAATGGGGTGTTTCGACCGTGTGTTGCGCCTGACGGTTTATTCCTCCAAGACGTCGGTTCGTTAAAGTTTTTTTACTGCTGGTGCTGCCGTAGAGTGGTTAAATGCGCATGCTTTTGTACGAGGGATTGCAAACTCTGTTTATCGAAGTATCCAGGAATTTCGTGCTCTTTGTCACGTTCGTTTTATCGAGACGTCGGCCCGAGAAAGACGATTCACTAAAATACTATTTGACCAAGTATGGCATCAATAATGAGTAACGTTTGTTAAACCCTAGTATTCTATTCGCTCACTAATCGTAAGAAAGGCCAATGTGCTTTAACATGATGTGCCGCGTGAGGTTCGCTACCCCAATCGGATTTTAAATCTGCTGGTAGTTCAAGTACGTAAACGAAATTTCTGGCGTGTATTTATTGTTCCAGTTATCATGCCTATTTCTTTTTCGAACTACTTCCTGGAAGGTGTGCCTTCGTAGCAGCCTTAGACACTACTTACCTAGTCTATTCTATAGCTATTCCAAGCAGCGACAGAATATCGGCGAAACACGCGTTTATGGGCCTTTGGCTAGAACCTGTGTTTTTAGTAGGACTTTCCTTTTCCGGAACATCTTCATATCGCTGAACGGACGTACGCAAGATGTTATCATGCGTACCCTGTCCATACTTTTCTTTTCCAATACGACTTTATAAGTCGAAAACTCTTTTATTTTGCTGCAGGATAATGCGATTGTTGGCAAATAACTGAAAACATTGAGCATCGTACAAAGGTGTTATGGCGTAGGATTTCAACGACAGTTTGGGCGAACTAGGAACAAACGCCGAAAGTACTGGAGCGTTCCAGGATGACATAAGTAGTCTCCGTTAAATTAGGTTGATTTGGGTTCCGCCTTTGCGGCACACGGATATTTTCGGCATAAAAGTGTCCCGGTCAGTGTTCTCTTGTCCAAATTACGTCCTGCGATTGCACAGCTGAAGAAACTCCTTAAGTCTAGTGTTATAACTGAACTGCGTTGTGTGTCACGTAGCTAACGTTTCACTAAATATGCTGTTATATAAAAAGCAACTCTCTCACAGCGCGACTGTTAGCCAAAAAGGGAGTCTTTTGAAAACAGCATTGAGCAATCAATCTGGGGACCTGCAAGTATTGGCTTTATTTAATGACATGTAATAGTACCTCTTAAATGCCTGTCTGTCACTTACCATAAGAAATAAACAATATCTAGCTACTTGGGATAATCAACAAGCAGGATAAAAATAATCTGCGATAGCCAACATGTCCCCTTAAGCGCCGTCAAAGTCTGCATGACTTAACAAATCTACTTAGACTCTCACAGGGCAAATCGTCCTTATTCTGATTGGTATCTAATTGGTCGATATAGTTTTGGTCTCAATGCCCCTATGGTTTCCACTGTAATCACGTTTCCGTGAGCAAATCCATTCAGCATGTTTTAGAAGCTTCCGCGGTTGACGACAGCAAAACTCCCACTTGAATCGCAGAGCTTGTGTAACTGATTGACGAAATGCATAATGAGACTATAAGACCTGTGGATACATGGCCATAAGTATATTTTGGCTTGCGACTACTGTCACCACGTGAGAAATAAAAGCAAGCCAATCTGCCCACAGAGTGAACGGGATCAAAACACGCCGAATTGGAAGCAAAGT